TTATTTTAAAAACGTATGGAGGGTATTTGAATAATAGCATGAGTAATTTTAATTAATAGTATACCTTGGGATTTATTGAAAATGTACAAATTTAATTTTAACGGCTATTAAACTTTCATAGAAAGCTTTAAATTTTAAAAATATAAGAAAATTTTGAATAATTGTGGGATGCTTTTCTTATTAAAAAGCATTTTTTGTTTCCTAAGTAATTCAAGATCTACTTAAAATATTGAAAGGCCTTTTAAAAAGAATTACAAAATAGGAGTATATATAGACAAAAATCTAAAAACTTCTAAAGTGATGAAATCAATTTTATAGACCCCACACTGAGTTTGGCTGATGCATATGACTCCAATAGGACCACTTTGAGCCGAAAAGACAATATTATCAGATTCAAAATTCAGGATCCTTATTTTCAAAATCAGCCCAGAATTTTTTCTAGCCTAACTTTAAGTTTTACATACATGCCAACTTACCAATGCATAAGAAAATCTATTTCACTTTTTAAAAGTTAAAATAGTGGTATTATTGATGTGATATTGTTGAATCCTTTTAGGACGTAGGCTCCTATATAGTTCGTGGGTTCTCACAACTCAAAATAGACCTGTATAGAGAGGATGAAAGGAGAGGATGAATGTGCTCTCTAGGCCTAGCTTCTCTATTTTCTCGATGATCTTCCCCCATTAGATTGGAGGAGCTAATCTAACTTCTTTTCAGCCCAAAGGTCTATTGCCCTCCCTCTTTTCTAGTTTTCCCTCCCTGAATACATGAAGAGGAAAAATGAATATAAAATTTTGAGTCATACGTTATGAAATCTATCCGTGGTGACTTGTTGAAAAGATCGCGACGTGAATGTCAAGCTACTCATAAATGGTGAGGGAGCATATGTTAATCCTTTTAATGTTGATCCTTACTTCGGCTACTTGTCAACCCCGAGGATCACTGGTCGAGGCAAACTTGGCAGGCGGGTCTGGTGAGTGTATCAGCTCTTTGGAATGTGACAGTCAATGTTTTAGTCCGCTAGGTCAATCCGCCAGGTCAGTCCAACATGTGATTTTAATAAATTTGACAAGGTGCATAATAGGCCTAATGACAAGGTTCAAATAGTATAATCCTTCAGATATCCGTTAGTTGGGAATGGGCCTAAGAAACCCATTAATTTTATCGCGAGCACATGGCTGTCAGATATCCGTTAGCTGGGAATAAGCCTAAGAAACCCATTAATTTTACGAGCTCGTGGCTGTCAATTATCCGTATACAAATATCAAAGATTTGGGTGATGTAAATGAAAAAAAGTAAGGTTCAGGTGTTAGATATGTAAATACATAGATATTGGGTGGCATTTATGAAAATGCCCCAAAAATATTTCACTGATTACGTGCTAAGTCACCATACTCCATAAAAGGTTACAAAAAAAAAATCCAAGAAGTCGGTGTACACTTAAGATTTATGTAATCAGCTTCAGTTTCCAATCAAAAGAGAAATAAAAAAAAACTATACAAATTTTCCAATTTTAGTAGTATGAAATCAACAAAAAACATGACCAAGCATTAGTGCATCCTAAGCTTCACCTGAATAGTGACAAAAAGTCTCAAACCCAAATTTAATAAACCATGGCTAGCATCATGAGAAATTTTATTTAAATAAAAACAAACAAATCTACTTCACAAAAACTTTTGATTCCTCATTATTAAAAAAAAAAACACCTAAAGAGCTTTTCTTGAGCAACCAATATCTTAGAAGTACATAAAAAAATAATATATAT